TAGTAGTAATAATAGTAGTAGTAGTAGTAGTAATAGTAGTAGTAGTGGTGGTGGTGGTAGTAGTAGTAGTAATACTAGTAGTAGCAGTAGTAGTAGTAGTGGTAGTAGTAGTAGTAGCAGTAGTAGTAGTAGTAGTAGTAGGAGTAGTAGCAGCAGGAGAAGTATAAGTAATGGTAGTAGTAGTGAAAACTGTACTATATGGTCGGTATGATTCGTGGCACTGTTGGTACTACTCTCATTGTGTTACTGCTAGTACTGTGATTACTAGTATGATTCGTAGGATACTTGATATAATTACTAGTACTACTCATTATCCTAATTATTAGTGTTGTTATTATTTAAATTTGGGTTCGTTGTCGTCTTCTTATTACGCTTTGTCTCATCATCGTTATTCGTACTATTTTTGATGGCATTATTATCATTCCACCTCCTCTCTCCTCCTCCTCCTCCTCCTCCTCCTCCTCCTCCTCCTCCTCCTCCTCCTCCTCCGCACGACCCTGCAGACGAGGAGCATGCCAGCTGCATGCCGCAGACTCTGCACCCCCCCCTCGTCCGACACGAACCCTGGGCCGAGGACCCCCAGCCCAGACATCCGCCGCCGCGACTGTTGCCCGCGGCGTGGGCCCCTCTCCCGGGGGCCGCCTCGCCAGGCCCGAGCCGCTCCTCTCACGGTCCCCGGGGCCCGGCGAGGCCCGCATACGAAGGGGCCCCAGGACACACAAAAAAATACACACAAATAAAGATATTCCCCATATGTTCTTATATTTTCTGGATTTTTGTCTTCCCCCCCGCTTCCCATATTTTCCCCTATTTTCCTGGGAATCGACGAGGCCCGCAAGGCAAGGCCTGGTCGAATCGAATCGGTCCGCAAGCGGGCGTGGGCAGACAGCTACAGATTCGTGTGGGCGATGGACAAATCTGCATGCACGGCTGAGCTCAGAAGTCTTGCGTGTGGCCCTCGGCCTGCGCACGCCATTTCCTGCGCACGCCATGTCCGGCGAGGCCCGCAGAGGCCGAAAAGGGGCCGAGGCCCGCCCGTCGTGAGCGTGCCCACGGCGCGGGGAGGTCCGGGCACCTCGTCGGGCCAGGAAGGAGAGCGGGGTGGCGAGGGGCGAGGAGGGGACTGCCTCGGGGGGCAAAAATAGCGACTCGGAGTCTGCCGATGCATCGCCGATAGATCGGCGACGAAAGCTGCACGCTCCTGGGCTGGGCGGAGCTATGAGGGCCCCTTCTCGGCGGTGAGCGGGGGATTTGGGGCCGGGGACACGTGCATTCTGGTCAAGGGGAGCTGTGGGAGCGACGGGGTAGGCAGGGAGGGAGTGTGGGGGATGGCGGGAGGGACGGGGATCGAGAGGAGAGGCCCTTGATAGGTGGGAGGGACGCGGGAGGGCCCCCGAAGGCGGGGGCCTCCCTGGAAGCGGTCCTGCCATTCGGCGAGCTCTTCTGAGATTCCCCTCTCCCCCAGCCTTCTCGGAAGACTGCCCCCCCTCGCGCCACATCCTTCTGCTCGCCGCCCAGTCTTACCCCCCTCCTGCTCCTGCTCCTGCTCCTCCTCATCCTCCTCCTCCTCCTCCCTCCTCCTCCTCTTCCCTCCTCCTCCTCCCTCATCCCTCCCCCCTCCTCCATCCTCCCTCCTCCCTTCTCCTCCTCGTCCTCCGTCTCCTCCTCTAGCAGTCAATGTGAGGGGACAGCGAGGGGAGGGGAGAGACTGGTTCGCGCGACTCGCAACGATACACCCCAAGGGCGTTGAAGACCGCAAGACATGCTTGTCGATAGACCACGACCTCTTGATAACGATGATGGTCATCATCATCATAATCATCATCATCATCATCATCATCATCATCATCATCAGCATCATCATCATCATCATCATCATCATCATCATCATCATCATCATCATCATCATCATCATCATCATCATCATCATCAGCATCATCACATCATCATCCATCATCATCATCATCATCATCATCATCATCATCATCCTCATCCTCATCCTCATCATCATCATCATCATCAGCATCAGCATCAGCATCAGCATCAGCATCAGCATCATCATCATCATCACCATCATCAGCATAATCATCACCATCATCAGCAGCAGCAGCAGCATCCATTATAATCATAATCATAATCATCATCATCATCATCATCATCATCATCATCATCATCATCATCATCATCGTCATCGTCATCGTCATCGTCATCGTCATCATCAGCATCAGCATCAGCATCAGCATCAGCAGCATGATCATCATCATCGTCGTCATCATCATCATCGTCATCGTCATCATCATCATCATCATCATCATCATCGTCATCAGACAACCCTTTAACGAAAATTATGTGTGACAATCGCTCTCTCTTTGCTTCCGTCCTTCCCTCCCCTACATTCCTCCTGCGAGATCGCGCAGACAGACGATGGAAGCTGGTACGCGCTAAGGGCAGGGCGCTATGAACATAGAATGTCCGAGCCGAATATCAGCCGCCACCTGGGGACCCAAAAGCGCGTGTGAGTCTGGGACGGGAGCGGACGGTGGAGGGGAGAGGAGGAAAGGTAAGGAGGCCGAAAGTGCCCCACGATCACCTGTGCGCCCTCCTCCTCCTCCTCCTCCTCCTCCTCCTCCTCCTCCTCCTCCTCCTCCTCCTCTTCCTCCTCCTCCTCCTCCTCCTCCTCCACGTTCCTCATTGTCAAAAGCCTGTTTTTGGAAGCCGTGCCCTGCGTCTACCTGGGCTTCGCGAAAGCGAAAAATGTGCTCTTCGGAACGCCAGTACGATCTGCCAGTGTGCCCTCGACATGATTGGGCGTGTTCAAATGCCCGTTGGGGTGTCTGGTCGGGGTTCTATGATATTCGAGGAAGCACACAGCTTCACATTGTTCTCCAGCGGCGAGGTGGCGGCACCGTCGCGAAACGCTAGCCCAGGACATACGTAGGCGAATCTCCACCTGGCGCAGCAAATGGGTGGACTGGGTAGAGGCAGTCGCTTGCAGGGAAAGGTAAGGAAGTACGAATACACACACACACACACACACTTCAAGGGGGTGGTCGCCCGAGGGGGGCCTTGAGTGCGCCCTCATCCAAATTCGCCCGCCCTAGACAAGCCCAGATCTTCCAGAGAGAGAGAGAGAGAGCCTCAAGACAGCCTCGAGAGCCTACCGGATAGCCCTCCATAGCAGCCTGCTGACGCCCAAAACGTCCCCACAAACTCTCCCAGGTGTCCCCAACATGCTTCAAGAGGCGACCCCTACAGGCGCCCCAAAAAAGAGACAGTGAGGTCCAAAGAGACAAAAACCACGAGCAACTGATCAAATTCGCAAAGTATGTTGACAAATGCCCGCCGTCTGTAAACGTGGGTTCTCGCCCGTGTCCCCACGCGTGCAAAACAACAACAAACACTGAGAATATCACCTGTAGAAATCACTACTGGCGGTGCGGGCGGTGCCGCGATTGCCAGGGGCCCCAGGACACACTCCTTCGCGAGCACGCGGTACACTGTCCAAGAAGGCCCGACACGCCGCACATCTCGCTCCAAGACGCCCACGACGCCTCCAAGACGGCCCCGAAAGCCCCGATAACAATCGACGAGAACCCCGCAGAACTTCCCAAGAGGTTTCCAGGGGCCAACTCCGTCAATGCCCCACGGGTTTACAACGTGCTTCGGGCTCCCACCTTTTCTGCTATCATACTCTTTTTTCAACCCAGGGCGTTCCTACGACCACGCCACGACGGTCCCACAGGCCACCCCCCCAAAAAAACGAACCAGTGCACGACGTTTCGAATACAAACCGGTGTGGGCGGTGCCGCGACTGCCAGGGCCCAGGGGGGACCCTTCGCCAACATGTGGTAGACTGTCCAAGATGGCCCCGACACGCCCCACATCTCGCTCCAAGACGACCACGACGGCTCCAAAACGACCCCAGAAGCCCCGAAAATACTTGACGGGAGCCCCACACAGCTTCCCAAAAAGGCTTTCAAGGGCCAACTCCGTCAATGCTGCCCGGGTTGAAACACTCTACGACATAATCTGTATCATCTTCCGGCGTCCCGCCATCACTGTGTATTGTTGTTTTACACGACGGCGGAAGGCATCATATTACCCCGTGTGAGCAGGCCCACCTTCCCTCCCAAAAAAACACTGTAATGTGCACGTGGCGACAAAATCCATGGACCCCTTGGGGCGTCATCAGCGCGTGAGATGCTTCCCCTTCCCCCAACCCCTTCCCCTGGAGCCCGGTCTTGTCGATTTGGAGGGATGGGGGTCCGCCTGGATCCGCCAGGCCCGGCCCGAACGCATCATGGGAGGATAGAGGAACACACCACGGGCCAAGAGGGCCCCAAGAGGCCCCCAAGACGGTCCAAGAGGACCCCGAGTCGCCGAAAGATCCTCCAGGACGGCCACGATGGCCTCCAGACGGCCCAGGAGGCCCCCAAAATGCCCCAGGAGACAGGGCCCAAAGAGGCAACGCTCATAGATTTTCAATTCGTTTTTGGAATATTTTAGCGCTCTTCCCCGACGCTCCACGGCGGCCCAAGAGGCTCCCAAGATCCTCCCAGGCGGTCCCAGAAAGCCACCAAGAGGGCCTAAACGGGCAAAGAGGGCCCCCACACGGCTTCAAAGACGGCCTCAGAGGCCTCCAACATAGCCCAAAAGAGCCCCTAGACAGCCGCAAGAGGAACTCCGAAGGGAACCCGAGCCCACATTTCGAACCCTCGGCTTCCCAAGGCCCCTAAGAAGCCTCCACGAAGCTCCGAGAGGCCCCCCAGAGGCTCCCCAGAGGCTCCCCAGAGGCCCCCATGAGGCGCCCAAGAGAGCACCAAGAAGCCCCCAAAAGGCGCCCACGAGGCCCTCAGGAGCAACACGCCACAACCGCCATATCACCCGAGGGGTCGGCGGTGCGGCGTAAGCCCAAGAATCAAAATCACAAGCGTTCTTTACTTCAGCGTAAGACCACCTCGATGCTGCGCTGGCACTGTGGCGGGTTTTGCCGCAGGCAGCCGGATATCACTGTAAGATTGGGGTTGATTGCCATTGCCTTTCCCACAAACAAGTCGGCCATGCTGTGAGACAAATGCCAAGTACTGGGGACCTGTAGCCATAACGTATCGAGCTTTTTGTTCGGGGTCCCCTTTCTGGGCAGTCGTGCGACTTGCGGCCGGGACCCAGCACGATGGGGCGTTTCCTGGTATCGTTTTGTGCGTTCAGAGTGCGCGCCAGGTCTGTCCAGCTGCCCAAATCTGAGCATGGCGAGACGGGGCCTGCCCGCCAAATATGATGGAACCGACGCGTAGCCAGAATGCTGGGGGGGGGGGGGGCGAAGGTAGGGGCTTGTCAGAGCCAATGGCGGCGAGCCAGCGGGGCAAATCGAACTCCCGCAACGCCAGGGCAGGCATGGGGCCAGTCGGAACTCGCCGCGCGAATTGCGACTTGCGGCTGGCCATTTCGTGCCCGATGCTTGAGATCCTCTTGTGAATAATGCGCCCAACTATGAACGCCTACTTCCCTCGATTGCCGCTACCACCTCATACCGGCGATTGACACCTGGTACCGAATATTACCGCATATTAGCTTGTGTTGTCTAGCAGCGTGTACTCGCGCCTATTGGATAGGGAGATGGCAGCTGCATCTGACCAAGTCCTGGAAAGAGCCCATGATGTGGCACTGACCAGCATCGAAAACGTCGGCCTCAACAGCACCCTCGCGTGGGTCGGGGAGAGGTTCAAGACGACGGCCAAGCACGACGGCACCTCATGTAACGAGTTGGGCGAACGCAAGCACACAGATGGTGCATGTCAAGCTGGACGAGATTGGCAGGCACAGCCGCGCAACGCGACGCAAGAGCTGGCAGCGCAAACAGCGGGGCATCCGTGCCCGAATCCAACGCCTCAACTTCCTCCTCCTCCTCCTCCTCCTCCTCCTCGTCCTCCTCCTCCTCCTCCACCCGCTACCCGACATGGGGGCGTGGAAGGCGGTAGAGGTTGCAGGAAGGAACGAAGGAACGAGCTGCCATCGCCACAGAGGGCGGCCCGATGATGGGTGACAGGCGTGCACGAGCACGGTGGCCCTTCGGCAAAGGACCCGAAGAACATTCAGCGCGGGCGCTGGATGCGGCTGGGGGGTCTGAACTAGCTGAGGCCCCAGAAAATCGGCCAGGAGGGGGAATAAATAGGGTCAAGTCCGCTCAAAATCGGTCCCCAGACCCCTCTGGGGGCAACTGATGCAATGTTTCACCCTGGATCGGGTGTTCTCGGTCCCAGGGCCCGAAATCGGTCCAGCGAGGCCGCACAAACCAAACCTCAACAAAAAAAAACTTCCCCGAACCTGGTACCTGGAACCTGCCCACCCTTCCTGCGGGCTGAAACCAGCGCCGGGCCACCCCAGTCCCGCAAACAGCTCCGACTCTCACCTCCGCGCAAATTCACGAACACTGCTTCGGCAACTCCACGTGGAAGGCGCGGGCGCGACCGCAGTCAGTACACCGGGCTTGACGAACCAACAACACACACCCATACCCATAGGGGGATCGGAGAGGGCTATGGGTGCGTGTTGTCGGATGGGGGTCCCCGCTCGGACGGGAGCGTTCCCCAGGGTCCGACAACCCGCACCCATACCCATAGCCAGTCCCCCTCCCAATGACCTCCCTATGGGTATGGGTGTGTGTTGTTCGCTCGCCAGGGCTAGCCTGTGAGTGGGATCTGGGGGCGGGCTCGGCGTCGGCGCAGTCGGCGCCAGTGCTGGGGCTGCACACGGCGGCAAGAGGTGGAGCCGTGGGCGGCGGGCAAAGCTGAACATCGCAGACGCTGGAGCGGGCCTCCCGGTGCCGTTCCCCAGTGGCCGAGGGGCTCGGCTCCCGACCACTGCGCGGGCAGGCCGGGTGCGCCACGGGGCGGCACCTCCCCACGAAGGGCGGCGGCACCGCGGCCGCGAGTGGCGGAGCGGCCAAGTGGGCAGCCAGGACGGCTGGAAAGGCCAGGCGAGGACTGCACAGAGCTGGAAGAGAAAGACAAAGAGAGAGAGAGAGAACTGCGCACAAACACACACACACACACACACAAACACACACACACAATGATAAAAACAATAAAAACACACACACACACATCCACACACCGATCCTGGGCCCAGAATCGGTGCACACGCCCTCCTGGCTCGGCTATGGAGACGTGTGCACCGATCACGGGCCCAGGTCGGGACTTGAGAGGCTCGGTGTATGTGCACAGGCCTCTTCGCCCGACAAGCACCGGCGGCAGCAGAGCCCCAGCGCCTGCCACGTGCGCGCGCTGCGCTGCCGAGGGTCGGGCTCGTCGAAACTGCCGCGGGAGCGCCGCTGCCAGGCAGGGTCCCCGTCGCGGGGGGGGGACGCGCGCGGCCTCGAGGGACCCTGCAGGGCGAGCCAGCGTCGACCATCGGAGCTGGCAAGTCGGCGCGCTGCTGACGGGCTGCGAGGGCAACGTGGCCGCCAGGCACAGAGGAAGCTTTGCCGAGCATCTGGTAGTCGGCGTCACCGTCACGACTGGGAACGGTAAGGGTACGAAGAGAAGGGACTAGCCGAGGGAAAGGGACAGAGGGAGAGGGAGACGAGGAGGAGCAGCAGCAGCAAGAAGCACGAGATACGGAGGTTTGCCCGAGATCGCCAACCGTACACTCACACCGATCCTGGCCAGGCCACTCCAGGGCCCAGGATCGGGCATAATGCACCGACCCTGAGCCCAGGATGAGCTCGGCCAAGGCTGGTCGGTGTATGTGTATACGGCAGGTTCGTGCAGGGACGACATGGGCGTTGGTTTCCGACACCGCGCAGATCGTTCAATCCTCAGCGATCGCAACTTTCCGATGGCGCGAATCGTTCGATGCCGCCCGGTTATGGGCCATTGGCGGCGTTCAGCCTGAGCGCCGATCCGACAAATCCGCGCGAAACTCGTTCTTCGGGTGGAAGTATATAGCTCTCGACGACTCGTCGCCCAAAGCATGAAGCACGAGACAGGGAGGGCTGCTGCCGCTCCACCGCTCCGCCGGCGCCAGCGCCGCCGCGCCGCCCTGCATACCCAGGCAGCGGGAGAGCCGCAGCGAGCCGATCGTGAAGTCCCGCAGGGCGAGACCTGGCCGAGGGGATAGGCTCCCCTTCCTCCTACTACTCCACATCGTCCTTATCCTCGTCCTGAAAAATGAAGATGAAGAAGAAGATGAAGATGATACTGATGATGATGCTGATGATGATGATGCTAATGATGCTGATGGTGATGATGATGATGAGGATGATGAGGATGATGATGATGGTGATCATCGTGATGATGATGGTGATGATGATGATGTTGATGGCGATGACAATGACGACGACGACAAAGACGACGAAGACGACGACGACGGTAATGATGATGATGATGATGATGCTGATGCTGATGATGATGATGATGATGATGATGATGATGATGATGGTGATGTTGGTGATGATGTTGGCGATGATGACGATGATGCCGATGATGACAGTGATGGCGATGGCGGTGATGATGATGATGATGACGATGCTGATGAGCACGATGTTGTTGATGGTACTAAAGATGATGATGGCAACGATGATGATAGTGATGATGATGCTGGTGGCTATAATGAAGACGACGAAGACGATGATCATGATGGTGATGATGATGATCATGATGATGGTGAGGATGATGATGGTGCTGATGATACTGATTATGATGAGGAAGATTATGATGACGATGGTAGAGGTGATGATGTTGATGAATGATGTTGGTGGCGACGGTGATGATGAAGATGATGATAATGTCAATGCTGCTGATGATGATGACGACGACGATGATGGTCAGTATAGTGGTGATGATGATGACGATGATGATGCTGATGATGACGATGATGATGATGATGATGATGATGATGATGATGATGATGATGATGATGATGATGATGGTGACGATACCGATGACGAGAAGGCAGAAGAGGACGTGAGGAGGAGGAGTAGGAGGAGGAGGACGATAACGAGGAGAAGAGGGAGCAGGAGGAGGGGGAGGGAAAGGAGGGCGGTTGAGGACCCCCCTCGCATGTGCGCGCGCCGCTCCGAAACGCAAGGGCTCGGCGGACCCGAGGAGGCTGCGCTGTCGGAGTCCACGCGGTCCTCCAGGCCCAGGCCGAAGACGCCACGGGCCACGGCCCAGGCGTACGCCGGGAGGGTGCCTCCCGCGGCGAAGCCCTGCGCGATCTCCTGCCGGGCAGGCAGACAGGCAGGACGGAGAGAGGGACTGCCAGACAGGGAGGGGGATAGAGGGAGAGGGAGAGGGAGAGGGAGGGGGATAGAGAGGGAGAGGGAGAGGGAGGGGGAGGGGCAGGGGGAGAGATCGCGACAGTCCGGACGAGTCTGTCTGCCCTGGCCCGGCAGGTTGTAAACGTGGCGCCCTGGCCAACCTCACAGTGGCGGGAGGTGCCGCGAACCGAACAGGAGTGGGGGGAAAAGACCCTGCCCCGTGGCGCGGACTGTAGGGTCCCCATTGAAAGAAACGGATCTGTGGTGATAAAAGGCGAAGCAACACGCTTGTACACCCTAACAAAAGGCGCTGGCTTCCAGCGCGCGCTCCTGCGCGCATCGGCGCGTCAGTGAACCGTGGCACCACCTTGGGGCATACCTCGCAGCGGCCGTGAACAGGCCGCGGAACAGTTGCCAGCTGCTTTCGCAGCGCACCCGAGAGAGAAGAGACTAGCACTGGTGTGCTAGCACTGAGCTTCAGAGTGCGCCTGGGGGCTTCCCTGGAAAGCAACCCCAACAGAAGCGGTCGGACGAAAGGCTTTCTGCAAATCGTTCCAAGACGACTCAGCTCGTTGGAATATCTCCAGCACGTCCCTTGACTGCTCCGGGATGGTAAAAAAAGGCCTGCGCAAGACTTGTGGCATGCTGTTGCAGCGCCGTGAGGCTAGCGATGAGACCGCGTCACGTTCCCGATCGGGCTGTTGCATGGCACTCGTGGGGCGTTGCGTGAGGGCGCGCCGGCGATCCGATCACTGCATTCATGGTTCCACCAATGCCATGGACCCTCCCGAAAGAATTCCTGATCCTGCTAAACGGGGTCTTTCCCTGGTAAACTGATCCGCTCCCTGGTGCGAGGTCCAGAATAATTCTCCAGAGGCCTCCGGAGAAATCCTCTGGAGAATTCCTGAGAGGCCTCCTCATAGGCGTCTTGGGCCTCCTCAGAGGCGTTATGGGCCTCCTCAGAGGCCGTCTAGGGCCTCCCGAAAAGCGAGGCGTCTTGGGCCTCCCGAGAGGCGTCTTGGGCCTCCCGAGAGGCGTCTTGGGCGTTCCAAGAGGCGTCTTGGGCCTCCTTAGAGGCGCCTTGGGCCTGCCGAGAGGCGCCTTGGGCCTCCCGAGAGGCGTCTTAGGCCTCCCGAGAGGCGTCTTGGACCTCCTGAGAAACCTGTTGGGCCTCCCGAGAGGCTTCTTGGGCGTCCCGAGAAGCCCCCGAGACCCCGAAAGATCCTGAGGCATCCTGAGTCCCTCGAGGCTCCTGAGGGATCCCTGAGGGCCCTGTAGATCCTGAGGAGCCCTGAGAGACACTGAAGGATCCCAGAGGGATCCTGAGGGATCCTGAGGGGCCCCTGGGGGGCCCCGACGAATCCTGTGGGGAATCTGGAGGGATCCTGCGGGATCCTCAGGGATCTTGCGGGATCCTGAGGTTCCTGAGGAATCCTGAAGGAGCCTGAGGGATCCCGAAGGATACTGAAGGTTTTCAGAGGAATCACGAAACATCTTTCGAAGCACTGAGGAGTCCTGCGGGCTCATCAGGAATGTTTCAGGATTCCTCAGGAATCATGAGCGAGCCTGAGGAATCCTGAGGGGTCCAGAGAGATGCTCCTGATCGGTGCTGTGGATCCCTGCGGAATCCTGAGCAATCCGGAAGATTCCGGATGCTTCCTGAAGGGGGCACGAGGGTTCCCGAAAAATGTTCAGAATCCAAAGGACAATTGACGAACCCTGAGGAATCCTGATGAACACGGAATGTCCCTGGGGAGCCCGGAGGAATCTGGAGGAACCTGGAGGAACCTGATGGAACCTCCAGGAACCTGGAAGAACCATGAGGGATCCTGAAGGATACCTGAGGAATCCTCATGGATCATCAGGGACGTCGAGGGATGTGTCGAGGGATCCTGAGAAGGATCTTGAGGGATCTTGCGGGGGCCTGCGCGATCTTGAGGGATCCTGAAGGGTCATGGGGGACAATCGTTTTTTCCACATTTGCCAGATTTCACGGGTTCCCATTATCAGCGTACCAGAAATGGTCATGGAAGGATTCAGGATTATGAGGGTGCAACAACTACGTTGGTTCACGGCGTTGAAGTCCCAGGAATGGCGTTCTGGCAAGAATCAGGATCGTCAAGACGCAACAATCAGGTTGATCCGCGGCGTTGGAATTCCGAGAACAATGTTTTGGCATGCTTAAGGGTCTTCAAACGTTTGTCTTCCAACGAAGCAATTCCCTCAGTGGAAATGAACCGTTGTATGGGGCATATCAAAAGGGAGCTTGGAGGCAAGGTTGATTCCAACATCGTCGATGACTCTTGGGTTTACACTGGCCTTCCTCCTCCTCCTCCTCCTCCTCCTCCTCCTCCTCCTCCTCCTCCTCCTCCTCCTCCTCATCATCATCATCATCATCATCATCATCATCATCATCATCATCATCATCATCAGCATCATCATCATCATCATCATCATCATCACCACCACCACCATCATCATCATCATCATCAACAATCATCAGCATCATCATCATCATCATCACCATCATCATCATCATCATCATCATCATCATCATCATCATCATCATCATCATCATCATCATCTTCATCTTCATCAGCATCATCATCATCATCATCATCATCATCATCATCATCATCATCATCATCATCATCCTGCTCCTCATCATCCTGCTCCTGCTCCTGCTCCTGCTCCTGCTCCTGCTCCTCCTCCTGCTCCTGCTCCTCCTCCTTCTCCTCCTCCTCCTCATCATCATCCCCTCTCCTCCTCATCCTCCTCCGCCTGCGGAGAAGGTCAGAGATCAAGCCCAGATGTGTTGCCAATCACGGCAGGGGCGGCGTGCGGACTGCGGGGCGAAGGCCAGGAACGCAACGGGTCCCTGTATCGGCGACAGGCGCGGGTCACCCTGGCCAGACGTGAGGGGCTAATTGGACAATGGTGGAAGCGGGCAGAGCCATTTGAGCGAAGGTGGGTGGCATGAGAGCATACCCTGCTGGCACAGACTGATCGGCGCTATGCTCAGCTGCACGACTCAACACACGAATAGAGCCTGTCGGTGGCTCAACAGGAGAACTCACTGGATCCCATACTGTTTCATCATCCACGTCATCGCGCACGTGAAATGACCAAAAGGCACCCCCAGCCGTAGTACCACTCGGGATTACATCGGGCCCGTCACTCGACGGCGTATTGTGAACATGAGATCGGTGCTCTTTGGTCCATCCTTCCCCCCGCTCACCAAGCAGATGCAATCATGCGGTGCAATGCTCTGTTCAATATGATCACTTGCGCTCTTGTTGATTAAGAGCAACAAAGGGGGCACACCAGCCACGACAGGAAAAGTGTGCGCAGCTGTTTCATGACACCTCTGCATGCTCTGGCATCGAATGGAACCTGCGTAGGTCAACTTGCTCCGCCCCTGCATCCAATACCAGGCTTCCCTCCCTGTCGCAATGTGATTGGCAATCATATTGCCGATCCAAGAAATCGGCGAAAGGATGCTGCTACCAGGGAGGCACAACTTGCGCACTTCTCGCTCCAGAGGCAAACTGGGTCTAATTATACCGATCATACGCGGTACACTGGCAATCCCCAGATAAGTTGCGTCCTTATCACGTATGGCAATGATGTTACTGACGATCCATGCATTTTCTGTTCAGTCTTGCCCGCAGCAAACTCGCGGAGCCAACGCAATTCCGGACAACGGCTTGCACTGATGTGCCCAGTTTGCCGAACACATAACGGACCCATGCTCCGCTTGCGTCGGCCCTGTCTTTTCTGCGTGAGATGTCATGGTTTCTGATAGCCCAGGGGGGCTACCTCAAAGTTATGGCAGGGGGCAGCTTCGCGCCAGGTCGACATGCTTGTTGAGTAGTCCGCAATGGTGAAAACCTCAAGATCAAGCAAGACACGGCATTGAACCTAAACGGTAATAACATATACAATCATACACCTGTCGGCGGCGAGCGAGGGAGGGAATGAGAAGGAGAAGGCCTTCTCAGAAGGCGGCGGGACTTCTCAGAAACCTTCGCCCCTTCTGATACATTGTCTGCGTCTTCTGGGAAGCATCAGAAAACGTCCAAGAACGCCGGGGGACTTCCGCGCCTTCTGTGAAGGCCCGCCCACTCTCACTTTCCCCCCGGGCTGGCCGCCGAAGCTGTGCAGGCAGCTGCTGGCAAGCAGCACGCAGCAAAGGCAAAGGCAAAAGGCCCAGGCGACAGACCGCTGCGAACTGCACGCGCGCGTGCGCGGGCAGGCAGCGGGAGCACGGGCCCAACAGTTCAGCACGGCACGGGCACAGACAGACGTGAAGGCGCCCAAGGACACACAAACAAACAGACGCAAATCCCAGGACTCCCCATATCTTTCCATCGTTTCTAGAATTTCGTCGACCCTTCCACCTCCCATATTTGTCCGTGTCTTCCTGGAAGCCGACCATTACTTCTGTGTGTTTTTGTCCCTCCTGCTTGGGGGGGCGGCATTGTCGGGGATCTTCTTACCCGGGTCAATCCAGACCCAGGTCAGCAGGAAACCAAAAACTGCAATGCAAGAAAAAAAAGCTGCAGCGCAGGTCTTTGCAAACCCAGGTCAGCCAATAGGCGCGGCCGCCTCGCGGCCACGAGCGGCTCGCTAACCCGGGTCAGCCAGAGGGGATCTTCACAGGATCCTGCAGGATCCGGTGCCCTGGCTGACCCCCGTTTGCACTGACCCCGTCTCCTAGGCCCCTACATTGAGCTGAGCGGCCGAACGAACGCCGGCACTCGCGCACGCTCCGCCTGAGAGACCGCCCGCGCCCACGATGGGCGGGGCGCGGAGGCCGCGGCCTCGAAGGTGCGGACCCGCCGCCTCTCGGAGAGAAGCCGGGAGGGGGGGGCGGCACCTGCAGCCCGTGTGCGGAGTCCCTTTTGTGGCTCGGCGTCGGCGACTCCGCAAGGCGTGGTTTGCAAAGGGTGTGGTTCGCAACCCGCGCCCCGGGTTTTTCCCGGAAAGGGCTTAGGCAGAGGAGGAGGCAGAGGAGGAGGCAGAGGAGGAGGAGGCAGAGGAAGAGGCAAGAGAACAACCAGAAGCCGAAAGATACGAGCCCCCCGTGGAACGTATCCGCCCCGCGGCCCGGGGGGGGGGAGGCGGGCGAGGACGTCGATGGAGATCGCTGCCGCGCCCCGACGAGGGCTCATCAGACCTTCGGCGCAAAGTGACGACCCCTGAGCCCCAACGGCGCCGACCGGCACCCCCACCCTGGCGGAACCACACCCGCTGAAATTGCCGACAGGTGGCAGACTGGCCACGGGTGATCCAGGGACGCTGCGAGCTCCGCGGTCTGCGGCAGTGGGCGAGCGGCCGCGGGCGGAGCGGCAACCGGCCAGGGGCCGCGGCTGACCGCGCCCCCGGCTTCCTGGCTTCCGAGCTATGGACAAGACAGCCCTTCTTTGGCCTCCTGGGCGCCGAGACCGCACACGACCCGCACGCGGATATCCTCCCCTTCTCATACCAAGCCTACACTGGATCGAATCGCGAGGTCGGACTGGAAACAGGTCGGATCGCCAGCGAACCGTCCCAGACCAGAACGAGATCGGATCGCCGCGTCTGGCTCTGGCTGGCCCCGGCCGACGTCGGTCCGTCGAGCCGAATCGGAATCTGGACCCCGGCCGGCGAATCGAATCGCATCGAATCGAATCGCAGGCGGCCATGCCTGCCAACTGCCTCCCCTCCACACCTCTCCTCCCGTCTGCCTCCACTTTTGGAGGGCTGGAAATGGGCACCAACACCAACACAGGGTGTTGCCTCCACAGGGGGAAGATGATCCTAGATTTCGGTGTTGGTGGTAATATTTCGGTCACCTTGGAAGCCAGAATATTACCACCATCACCGAGATCGGGATCTTCTTCCCTCGGTGGAGGAACACCGCCGATCTTGGTGTTGGTGTCAACCTCTCGGCCGGCCCGCGGTCCTCGCGCATGCAGGACAGCACGTCGGCGGGCGCGCTCAGCGAGCCCTGGCGGCACCAGAACCTGGCACGCTCCAGGCGCACCCACGGGCCCCGCCCTGCCACATCACACTGAGGAATGAGGCGGAGGAGCAAAAGGACAAGGCAAAGAGCACGAAAAGAAACAGAAACGGTAAAAGGAGGAATGAGCAAAGGATAGAGAAGGGACATATATATACAAACATACATACATACATACATACATACATACATACATACATACATACATACATACATACATACATACATGCATGCATGCATGCATTACATACATTACATACATACATACATACATACATACATACATACATACATACATACATACATACATACATACATACATACATACATACATACATTCATACATACATACATGCATGCATACATGTATACATACATACATACTTACATACATACATACATACGTACGTACATACATACATACATACATGCATACATACATTGCATTACATACATACATACATACATACATACATACATACATACATACATACATACATACATGCATACATACATACATACATACATACATACACACACACACATACATACATACATGCATACATACATACATACATACATACATACATACATACATACATACATACATATTGGAGCAGAGCTGTCGCACATGCAGAACGTCTTTGCTGCAATAATCGATTGCGCTTGTGTGGGCTATCATGGTCCTGGGCCCTGGCAAGTCGTGCCCGCGCATCACGTGGAGTGCGGGTCGGATCTCGGTGCATAACACGTCCTGTGATGCCGCTCTTCCATGACGCCTCGCCTCCAAACAGGGAGCGAGAGAGAGAGAGAGAAGAACAAACAACAAAAAAAAACACGAGGACGAGGGTACAATGCGGGCGCGACCGCAAGAAACCCTCGCAGGAAACCCGGCCCTGAAAACACGCACGCGAGGTGCACCTGAGGTGTAAGCCCCCCGAGCACCCTGAACGCAGCAGCTTCTTCCACGGCTGCGGGAAGCCACCGCGCAGCGCGCGGAGCGAAGAAACCCAGGACACCCTGGCGAAAAGCACAGGGTTCCTCGATGCGCGCCCCCCCTGCAGGAGGAGGTTCGGGACGACTGGGCCGGCCGGTGCGAGGGCGACCCCCCGAGCGCCACAGGAAGCCGTAGTTCGGGTCCGCGTACGCGCACTGCACCTCGAGCTCGGCCAGGCGCAGGCTCGGAGCACCGCCGCCCTCGCCTGCGCGCGCCGCGGCCGAGCGCGCCGACGGAGCCCGGGCACCCCCGAACTCGCAGCTTCGTCGCCCAACTCGCAGCTTCCCCCCCCCCTCCTCTTCGGCCTCCGGTGTGTCGGCGGCGAGCCACAGGGGAGAAAAGAGAAGGGGCGGGCCTTCTCAGAAGGCTCGGAAGTCCCCGGGACTTCCGAGGACTGTTCCAAGCCTTCCTCGAAGACACAGGGAGCCTCTCAAAGGCCAGAGGGCTTCTGAGAAGCCCCGCCGCCTTCTGAGAAGGCCGTCTCCTTCTCACTTCCCCCCCTCGCTCGCCGCCAAGTATGCGTGTCCATGCAGCGAACAGGGTGGTTTCACCCTCGCCGCCGACTGGTGCGATCGTTCGGAGGATGCGCGTCATGGCTGTCATGGCTTCCAATCTCGCATTTCCCGCGAGCGGGGCGTGAGACTCCGTGTCGCCCGAGAAGACTGATGGTCTCCGCTCTTCACCTCTCTCCTCTGTTCCCTCTGCTCTCCTCTCTCCCACATGCCCCGCCTCTCACCGTCGGACCGTCCTCTCCTCTCTCCCCTTGTGCTTCTCCCCCACGTTCGTTCCCTTCCCCCTCTCTCCCATCCCTCCGCTCCCCACTTCGTCCCTGCTTCGCCGGCATTCGTTAATTTGATCGGAGACAAAGCAGAGACGGACAACAAGGGGGGCGAAGTAGTCTGGGGGAGAGATATGTAGGGACCGAACTCGCACATGGAAGCTGGCAACTGTTGTCAGGCTTACCAACAAATATTGGAGCGCGAAGCTGGAGAAACTGGCCAGGGCTGAACAGAGCCCAAAACCTACCACTCTACCCACCCCCTCCCTTGGGGAGCGGCGTATCGCCTGCAAAACCAAAATGGATAGCATATCCCCTGCACGGATCGCTGTTCTGAGAAGGTGCTTTCCTACACATCTACCTTCCCTGAATTCACTCACTACATGCCGCCCCACAATCTTCATGTACACATCTACCTTCCCTGGATTTGCTCACTTACTTGACTTGGATGTACTCTTCATCGTTCCAAATCCGCCAAGCCGTCATCGCCTGCGCTGCCGTCGTGGCAGAGGTCTGCCGCGGAGGTCGCGCTGAAGTCGAGGCGCCCCAGACGGAGCTCGTCGGCGACGGCCTCCCGACGCATCTTTCGCTCGGCGAGGCGACAGCAGGAACGAGACACAATCGGACCCTCTCCTCCTCCTCCTCCTCCTCGATCTCCTCCTCCTCCTCCTCCTCCTCCTCCTCCTCCTCCTCCGCCTCCTCCTCCTCCTCCTCCTCCTCCTCCTCTCACTTCCTCCTGCTTGCTCCGCCTCCTCCGCCTCCTCCTCCTTCTCCTCCTCCTCTCCAATTCGTTTTCCTCCTCCTCCTCCTCCAATTCGTTTTCCTCCTCCTCCCTTTCCTCCTCCTCCTCCTCCTCCTCCTCCTCCTCCTTTTCCTCCAACTCGTTTTCCTCCTCCTCTCTCCTCCTCCTCCTCCTCCTCCTCCTCCTCCTTCCTCCTCTTGCTCCGCCTCCTCCGCCTCCTCCTCCTCCTCCTCCTCCTCCTCCTCGTTTTCCTTTTCCTCCTCCTCCTCCAATTCGTTTTCCTCCTCCTCCCTTTCCTCCCTCCTCCTCCTCCTCCTCCTCCTTCCTCCTCCTCCTCATCCTCCTCCTCCTCCTCCTCCTCCTCCTCCTCCTCCTCCTCCTCCTCCTCCTCCTCCTCCTCCTCCCCCCCTCTTTTTTCCCGGAAAGGGCATAAACCCAGGGTTCTCTTTTAGTTGGTTTACCTCCGGGTTTGACTTGAGGTGGGCCGGCGAAATTCTTTTGCGATGAATATCGAGGTCGAGGTGGGCCGGCGGAATTATTTTTGAGGATGTCCCGAGCGAAACGCTTGTCGTTCAGAATTGGTTGAGGATGTCTCGCGAGAAACGCTGGTTTTGCAGAGTTGGGGAATGTCTCGAGCGAAACGCTTGTTCCCAGAAAGGGCAGAAGCCAGGGTTCTCTTTTAGTTGGTTTACCTCCAGGTTTGACTTGAGGTGGGCCAGCAAATTTCTATTGCGATAAATATCGAGTTCGAGGTGGGCCGGCGAATCAAAATTTGAGGATGTCCCTAGCGAAACGCTTGTTTTTCAGAATGTGTTGAGGATGTCTCGAGCGAAACGCTCGTTTTGTATCATAGCTTGTCCTCTCCTGTGGACCTGAATTCAGAGGATCTCTCAAGTGAAATGCTTGTTTTCATGTACCCAGGTCTTGAGGATGTCTCGAGCGAGACGCTTGGTTTCACGCCTCCAGGTTGCCCAGACAGATGTCTAGCATGAGGATTTGTTGAGGATGTCTCGAACCCGAGGGTTGTTTTCACGTGTCCAGGTCGCCCAGGCGGATGTCTAGCATGAGGATGTGTCGAGGAAGTCTCGATCGAGACGCTTGTTTGCACTTGTCCAGGTTGCCCAGGCGGATGTCTAGCATGATGATGTGCTGAGAACGTCTTGAGCGAAACGCGTGTTTTCACGTGTCCAGGTCGCCCAGGCACAGCACAGCACTCGGCACGGTACATCAATATCGATACCCTTAGCATTGCAGCCTGGCATGTTGCCTGGCACGTTCCGCGGAGCGTCTTGTGGCAAGTCCCCCTGGCACGTCGCGCGGTGCACGTCCATTGGCACGTTCCGTAGCGCGTCCCCTTGGCACGTCCCGCGGTGCGTGCCCATGGCACGTCCCCTGGCACGTCGCCTGGCGCGTCCCTTGGGACGTTCCGCGGCGCGTCCTCCTGGCATGTCCCCCTGTCGATGAGTTATGGGGCAGCTACCATCTGCTCAGGCAGCTCGAGCTTAAGATCCAGATCAGTTCGGTCAGGACTCGAATGCCAGGGAGGACTCGATCCACAACGCTATATAGAGCACAATCGCGGCAGGGCGCATCGCAGTTCAGCACGGCCAGCACAGCGCAGCCGTCGGCACGGTACATCAAAATCGATACATTCAACATTGCATCTTGGCACGTTCCCTGGCGCGTTCCTTGGCGAGTCCACCTGGCACGTCGCGCGGTTCGTCCCCTGGCAAGTCCCGAGGCACGTCCATTGGCACGTTCCGTAGCGCGTCCCCTTGGCACGTCCCGCGGTGCGTGCCCATGGCACGTCCCCAAGCACGTCGCCTGGCGCGTCCCTTGGGACGTTCCGCGGCGCGTCCTCCTGGCATGTCCCCTCTGTCATTTGGTTCTGGGCAGCTACCATCTGCTCAGGCAGCTCGAGCTTAAAATCCAGATCAGTTCGGTCAGGACTCGGATGCCAGGGAGGTCTCGATCCACAATGCTATATAGAGCACAATCGCAGCATGGAACATCGCAGTTCAGCACGGCGTAGCACAGCACAGCCCTCGGCACAGTACATCAAGATCGATACATTCAGCATTGAATTTGCCCGTCGCCCAACCAAGTGTCTCTGAAACGTTGCCATGACTTGCATTTCTATATTCCTTTCCGGGTTTGTGGGTCGATCATGTTTGTCTCCGTCTGAGTGTCGAAATTCGTAGTGATATTGTTCTTATGAGTCATGGAAATACTCTTTTTAGTATTATGGTTGTGTCTCTCAGTGGTATTAATATTAGGAGTATTGGTATTATTCTTATCCGTATCGTCATTGCTAGTACCCTTGACATTGTTATTACGAACATCAGTAGTAATGTTCTCATAGTTGGTATTATTATACATATTATTACATATTATTTTGGTTCTAAGTATGAATCGTATCAATTGGTTGACTCCCATTTTCCGGCTTATTCTTCTTAATCATACTACCAATCATAATGCGAGTATTATCATTAATCTTCTAAGTATGAGTATTCGTATCACCCGTCTTCGTCCAAGCCTTGAAATTGGTATGATTAGTATTACGGTTCGTAATTTGTCGTGTCTTCTTGTAAACCGTTCAAGAATTACGAGGTGTAGCGTGATTTTTCCCATTCGTGTTGTGTACCATCAGTCTGGCAATTCGAATTATTCACACTATTTGCTTTTAAATAGTCTTGGTCATAGTCTTAATCTGCGTACGTTTATTCATGCTGCTAATATTACTCGCCGTACGGTTATTCTTAACACTCATATTAGTATTGGTACGTTTGCGATCATTCGAATCAACAATGGTATCGTAAACGGTAGTTTTATTGATAAATAGACTTAAACATGCACGTACGTGTCTTAATTGTATCATCGTTCGCACTACTCATATTCGCTATGCTAGTATTATTATGTGGCTCGTAGTGTTCATCTTCGTGAGAAGTATTGCTGCTATCATTCTTGTTGTTATAATAACCATTCACCGCGTTCCGCCTTCTCATCCTCAGATTCCTTCTCCTCCTCCTGCTCTGCCTCCTCCTCCTCCTTATCATCCACCTCCTCCGTTTCCTCCTCATCCTTTTCCTCCTCCTCCTCCTCCTCCTCCTCCTCCACCTCTTACTCTTCCTGTTCCTCTTCCTCCTCCCCTTCCTGCTCCTCATCTTGTCCATCTTCCTGCTTCCCCCATCCTCCTCCTCCTCCTCAACCTCCTCCTCCTCCTCGTTCCTCCTCTTCCTCCTCTTCCTCCTCCTCTCCTCCTCTCCTTCTCCTCCCCCTCTTCCCCCTCCTCCCCCTCCTCCTCCTCCTCCTCCTCCTCCTCCTCCTCCTCCTCCTCCTCCTCCTCCTCCCTCTTCTTCAAAGTATTCGTCTTCGTATGATTATGATTGTTGGGATTATTCGCATGAGCCATCGCAGTATTCGTTTTCCTAGTGTGTTTCATATTATGGGTATCATCCTCATCCTCCTTCTTGTCCTCCTCATCCTCCTCCTCCACCTCTTCCTCCTCCTACTCCTCCTCTTTGTCCTCCTCCTCTTCCTCCTCCTCCTCCTCCTCCTCCTCCTCCTCCTCCTCCTCCTCCTCATCATCACATCATCATCATCATCATCATCATCATCATCATCATCATCATCATCATCATCATCATCATCATCATCATCATCATCATCCTTCATCATCATCATCACATCATCATCATCATCATCATCATCATCATATCATCTCATCATCATCATCATCATCATATCCATCGTCATCATCATCAGCATCATCATCATCATCATCATCATCATCATCATCACAGCATCATCATCATCATCATCATCATCAGCATCATCATCATCAGCAATCATCATCATCATCTCATCATCATCATCATCAGCATCATCAGCATCATCATCATCCATCATGCAATCATCATCATCATCAGCATCATCATCCATCATCATCATCATCATCATCCCGCCTCATCATCATCATCCTCATCATCATCATCATCATCATCGTCATCATCATCATCATCATCGTCATCACATCATCATCATCATCATCGTCATCATCATCATCATCATCACATCATCATCAGCCATCATCATCATCACCACCACCATCATCATCATCATCATCATCGTCATCATCATCATCATCGTCGTCGTCATCAGCATCATCATCATCATCAGCATCAGCATCATCAATCATCAATCAGCACCGTCGTCCTCATCATCATCATAATCAGCATCATCACCAGCATCTCATCCTCATCATCATCATCATCAGCAGCAGCATCATCATCACCACCACCACCATCACCACCACCACCACCACCACCATCACCACCACCACCACCACCATCATCATCATCATCATCAGCATCATCATCATCACCATCATCATCATCATCATCATCAGCATCGTCATCAGCAGCCGCAGCAGCAGTAACATCATCATCATCATCAGAATCATCATCAGCAGCATCATCAGCATCGTCATCAGCATCTTCATCTTCATCATCATCACCATCATCATCAACATCATCATCATCGGCATCAGCATCATCATCAGCATCAGCATCAGCATCAGCATCAGCATCATCATCAGCATCACCATCATCATCAGCAGCATCATCATCCTCATCATCATATCATCCTCAACATCATCATCATCATCATCATCATCATCATCATCATCATCGTCCTCATCATCCTCAGCATCATCATCATAATCATCATCATCATCCTCATCATCCTCATCATCATCATCATCCTCATCCTCATCCTCATCCTCATCCTCCTCATCATCATCATATTCCTGGTCTGATTCCCCCTCCTCC